CGAGACTCGGCTCCTCCCCACCCGGCGGGAGGGGCGTGGCTTCCGCTCCTAAGGAGGCTACGGCGTGACCGCGAAGCCAGGCGGGAGGCTGCGGCCTCGTCCCCCTGCACCGGGGTCCCCTCCCCTCCCCTCCCCTCCCATCCCCATCTCCCCACACATACATGGGGAGACACTGGAGGGCTTCTCACTGCCCCGCAGGGAGAGACGCTTGACCTTCAGGAGGCAACAAGCCCACTCCTAGTCCTAGCCAGGGTTTGGACTACATGGGGCGAGCAATTATTTTGGGCGGAGGGCCGCTTACGGACTTTCCACAAGCCATCGAGGACCTCATGACAGGCAGCCAGGGGCAAATAAATATTAATTTTCTCCATTTTTTAGGGGCCCCGCGGGCCAAATAGAATGGCCTGGCAGGCCACATCTGGCCCACGGGACGCATTTTGCCCACCCCTGGATTACACTTTGCCTCAGGGATCTGCACAAAAAATTGGGCTGCCCATCATGATGCCTGAATAAAATCAGAGACACCCCACCTGTTATGATTTTCAAATCTTACAGGGGGGCTCTTGTCTCTTATCCCCCCATAGGACAAGAGCCCCCCTCTAAGATCTGAAAATCATAGCCTGTGGGGACTCTGATTTTATTAGGCTCAATGCCCCCCCCTTCCGTTCCCCTGTCATTTGAACCCTGGCACCTAGGAGAGCTCCTGCCTCCTCCGGACACCTGGAGGTAGCCATTTCCAACCAGGGTGCTGCAGCAAGGTGCCCCACTGCATAGGCTGCGGAACGGGTGGGCCACCAGGGTCATGGCCCGACCAACTTTTAGCACATTAATTTATATAACCCACAAATGCCCAATTGTCATTCCGCTTAAAACTGTATAGCTATTTTTTTTAACTGCATAGCTAGCTAAATTAACGTGCTAAAAGTTGGTTGGGCCATGGCCTGGGTGGTCCACCCATTCCACAGCCAATGCCCCACCACGCCAGCCCTAGTGCACTGGTGGACAGGATTGGCAAGATCAGAGCGCAGGTTTCAAATGGGATTCTGTGGTTCCTGGAGACGCCCGTAATCCTGAGTTCTTTGCCACAGAAAAACAGCTGTGTTATGTTTCTGTAGTCAGGGGGGAAAAAAAGAGTGAAAATGAAGAATGGGCATTTTTCCAGAGGTGCCTCGCATCTCGCCAGGGGGTGCCTTGAAGTCTAAAAAGATGGAGCAGCGCTGCTCTAAGGTACCACCCTGCCCTGCCTGCTGTCTGACTTCAGACTCAGTCACCTCCCCACCACCTCTGTCTGGGCTTGGGCCAGGGGTGGATCTAGAATTTTGGAAAGGGGGATGCAGGTGGTGAGGTACATCGTCATGTGTAAAACAACACATATATTTCTCCAGTTAAACTAGAATCTTTTCTAATCCCCTAGGGCAGGGGTTGGCAACCCCCGGTATAGGTGCCAGAGTGTAGCACTCAAAGGCACTTTGCTTTGCACTCCTGCCTTGGGTTGAACAGCAGGGAAGGGGTTGGGGTGTGCTGCCATAACAAGAATTGGGCCACTTATGGCTCCCCCATTGTCTGCCCCGGCACACAAACATCTTACAAGTTGAAGTTGCAGATGTTTTTGGCACTCTGCCCAAAAATGTTGCTGACCCCTGCCCTAGGGGCCTACAGCTATATGACTGAATTTAAGATTGAAGCAAAAACCAGCTTCATTGGAATAATTTTAAAACAGTGTGCAGTGCTGTGAAATAGGAGCTTCATGAGCAGGAGCTGTGAACACACAGCAGAACTGCAGAACAAAGGCAAGCTTGAGTGGTAGAATATCAAGACAAGGTCATGAGTGGTAGAATATCAAGAAGAAACAGTCATTAACACCTGTGCAATGTAGAGTTTAGAAGGGATCAGGTAGATGATAATGAGCCATGAAATCAAGTGACTTCCTCATTACTGCCTGACTAGAAATGCTGCTGCCAGGCACTGGTTTTAAGGTTTGGATGGATTAGGAATCAAAGGGGCGTGCAAGTGCATCAGTGCCTCCCCCGTGAATGCACATCTGCCTTGAAGTCTAAAGCAGGGGAGAACCACTGCTCTGAAGTGCCACCCTGCACTACCTGCTGCTTGACTTCATTGCTGTGCAGAAAAGGACCTGGGGCTTGCAGTGGACAATAAACTGAATATGAGCCAACAGCGTGACCTTGTTGCAAAGAAGGCTAATGGCATACTGGACTGCATTAGTAGGAGCATTGCTAGCAGATCAAGGGAAATGATTCTTCCTCTGTATTTGGAACTGGCAAGGTCACAAATGAAGTACTATGTCCAGTTCTGGGCCTCCCACTACAGAAAGGATGTGAACAAATTGGAGAGAGTCCAGTACAGGGCAACAAAAATGGTGAGGGGGCTGGGGGACATGAGTTCTGAGGAAAGGCTGAAGGAACTGGGCTCCTTTAGTCTGGAGCAGAGAATACTGAGAGGGGATTTTATAACAGCTTTCAACTACCTGAAGCGGGGTGTCCAAAGAGGATGGAGCTAGACTGTTTTCAGTGGTGACAGATGACAGAACAAGGAGTAATGGTCTCAAGTTGCAGTAAGGGAAATTTAATTTAGATATTAGGGAACACCTTCTCACTAGGATAGGAGTAAAGCACTGGAACAGGCCACCCAGACAGGTTGTGGAATCTTCATCCTTGGAGGTTTTTAAGACCCAGCTAGACATAGACTTGGCTGGGATTATATAGCTAGGGATAGTCCTTCTTTGAGCAGGTGGTTGGACTAGATGACCTCCTGAGATCCCTCTTGACCCTTCCAACCACTTCCCTATAATTCTATGATTCAGACTAAGACAGCTCCCCACAGAGGAGCCTGAGCATTTTCAGATGTGGTCTCAAAGGGCTGCTATATCTGACAAATTAAACAGCTTCTCTTCTATTTTATTTAATCCACAGTTATTCCAAAGAACATTTCAGACTGTAAGGTTTTGAAAGGAGGAGTCCTTCCAAAGTGTAGTCCTTCCTGGTGGTGACAAAGCACCCTGCAGAGCTGGTTCTCCTTCTCCCTGTTCCCAGCTGCTAAAATTCAGTACGAGACAGATACAGATATATCACATGCACTCCTACTTTTATGCATATGGTTCCCGAGCAGTTGGAACTGGGAAGTAGGAGCCCTAGAAGCAAATCATTATGATTTCACTGAACTAAGTGGCATATGGTGTAATAAAGGTGTGATATTCACAAATGCTAGCAAGATTGAACAGGATTTCCTGTAGTCATGAGACATAGGTCAGAGTTACTGTTTTGCCCTGACACATGGGAGTAAGTTCCTCCTCCTCCTCATCTTCTTCTTCTTCTTTTTCTTCTTCTTCTCTGGAAATCGAATATAGATCTCTCTCCTGGGCACCAGTTGGCAGCAACAAGGGCCAGGTTCAAATGTCATTGCTCCCTGGGAAGCTGTAAGACACTGATCACCACTTCCTGTGGAGAGGGTGTGACGAGGTGCCTGCAGCTTCAGTCAGCATACTGCACCCCCACAATTCCTAGTCCTAATCACACAGCTCTGCTGGGGCAGCAACCTGCAAAAGAACTCAAAGAGGAGCCAGGCCCATGGGCGTCTGGTGCTGCCTTAGTCAAGGGGGGCACGTGCAAGTAGTCCCGCTGACTGGGTGGAGGCCCCCCCCACGGCTGATCTCACTGCCCGGGCTGGGGGAGTCCCCCCATGGCCAATCCCATGAAGGTTGATCGCTGCAGCCACTTCCAGGAGTGGCTGGGGGCCCCTCTGGGGGGGGGTGTGGGGGGGGGGGCAGTGCCCGGCTGGCACTTGCGGGGGGGGGGGGAGGGTGCACTGGTGCTCCCGTCTGCCCCCATGCCCATCGCCTAAGCAGTGAGTGCGACTGAACAGAGGGTGCACCAGTGCTCTTAGGGGGTGCACATCCACCCCTGTGCACCTCCCTATGCGTCACCGCTGGTCTAATATGTTCTTAAGGATGGGGATTCCACAGTCTCAGTAGCATATTCCAGTGCTTAACCCCTCTCACAGTTAGAGAGTTGCTGTTACTATCTGTAATGGTAGATTTGTACTTTATAGACTAAATTTGAGATATGTAAGCTTTCATAAGCATCAGTTTACTTCACCCCTGTGCACCCCCTATGCATTGCCACTGGCCAGGCCTATCCTGCATTGGGGCCTGGACTACAGCTGGTCCCAGCCACACAGCTTAGCTGGGACAAAGAAGCTGCAAAAGCAACAAAAGAACCAGGCTTCAACTCTGACCAAAAACTGCCAGGCTCCAATCCTGGTCAGTTTGCTCCAGGGATTAATACCTCCATGGTATTATCTCACTCAAAACCCAGAAGGAAAAAGGGGGAGGGAAGAAGGAAAGAAGAGCCCCAAACACTAAGACAGATGCTCTCTCCCTTTATCTGAGGTTTCCCCTTCAAATTGCTTCAGCTTGCTTCTCCAGTGAAAGGGGGGGAGACCCTCCCCATGAGGAGCCATTCTCCTGAGCTTGCATTCAGCTCTGCAGCCTTGCAGCTAGCTGCCTAGCTGAAAGATTGCTATATACCTTGGCATGACATCACCCCAAGTATCCTAATCAGGGTTTGCCATGCTTCCAGCCTCTTTCTTGAGCAATTAATTTAAGAAAAAGAACACTGTCCAGTCTAGCCAATCAGGCTAGACATCTGATTTTCAAGCTGTACTTGAGGAAGACCAGGCTTTCTGGTCTCAGCATGGGGGGAAGCAGGGGGTCCTAAACCAAAAGGCCACAGGTACCAGGACACTGCAGGAGGCTTACCTGTCAACCTCCCCAGACAGCATTCTTCTCCACAGAACACCAAGCAGAGGAGAGGAGACAAGATACAGCAAATACAGAAATCATATACCATGAATGGCACATGGCTCCGGTGGCTGGGGGACATGGCTGTGCTGGTGATGGTGGAAGCATGGTGATGGAAGCCTGGCGGCGGTGAGTGGGGAGCCTTTTTGCAGAGGATGTACTGCCACATGTACCCCCTACGTGTCGCCCCTGAATAGAGCAAAGCAGACACATATCAAACATGATCATATTCAAGCTAAAGCATACTTTGCAGTACAAAACAATATGCATAGCAACATGAAACCAAAACACACTTTGCAGTACAAAATTGCTTGTACATTTTGTGTGTTACATAGTATTGAATTTAAAGGGGAGAAGTGGGGGTGGGGAGGGAAGGGGGCAGCTGCAAAGCCAAAGGCAATTAAGTCCTAATAGAAGAGAGAGATCATAAGAAATACCGGGCTGGATGACATCCAAGGTCTGCACAACCAATGTCTTTTGACAGTGTTATGGACAGATGTTATGACCCCCATGTTGACCCAAGGCCCCTAAATATTAGGTCCCATCCCACATATGCAAATATTTAAGATGCTGCCATGCAATTGATTTATCTAAAGGTATAGTGTTCTTTGTATTAATCAATCTCCCATATGATCTTATTTGGGTTTTTTTTTGGGGGGGGTGGGTCTTTTTTAGTTTTGTTTTGGGGTTTAGCTTTTGGAGGGTGGGAGGGGGTTTCTGGTGGTTTTGTTTGTTTGCTTGATGATAGCTGAATATGGAAAAGAAGTCTTCAATTAAGATGCCTAAGATGGTCTTTTCCAATGCCTATACCCCTTCTCTGAACAGGTCACCAAGAACATTGTAACATATACAAGTGGCATATTTTCCATCCAATATGTGTTCCTTTAGATTTGTCAGCCCTGAGCTTCATTTGCCATTGCATTGCCCATGCATCTAGCTTTTTGGGGTTTCTCAAATGTTTCTCTATTTCTTTTGCTCTTATCTAACCAAAACACATTTATGTCATCCTTAGTTTTTGTTACCTCAGTGTTCAATCCCTCCCCCCCCACCGCTCCCTCCAGATCATTAATTAATATGTTAAAAAAATATAGGACCCAGAGTCAGCCTGGAGGTAGCCTGCCATTTTGAAAACTGACCATGTAACCCTGTTTTTGTTTTCTGCCTTCTAACCAGGTTGTGAGCCATGACAATCCTTTGCCTTTTGGAACTAAGTTATTGATCAGACAACCAGTATCCTTTTATCATTATCCTCCACTTCAATGGAAACAGTCAAAGAATTCTAATGGATATTTAAATTAATGAGGAACGATTTTCTATTGCAGCAACCATGCTAGTTAGACCCAATCTGACTTTCAAGCAAGGAACAAACAACATAAACAGTCCAGTGGCTGAGGATATTATTCCTTCCTCTTGTTGGATATCTGTCAAACAGTACTCTGTCTGAACTGCAGGGGCTTTCTGATTACATGACCATCCCCTTGTTTTTAGGGACAGTCTTCAGGACCTAGCTGTCTCTGAAAGAGATCTATTACTTGGATCTTGTGTTGACTCATCCTCATGTTTTCGGTAGCAGTGATGAGTGGGTTATATTCATCTGCGTACAAATGATGTCAGTAGCATTCTGGTGTCTTCAAGATACAGAGAGCCAGTATTCCCTTTTATTTGGAGATCTTTTGTTTCTCCTACAGGACCTTTTCTCAGCGTGGTTACATATGACCTTAGGTTGGATTTGACAGCTACTTCCTTTTTGGGACTCTCTTAGCTCCTGCTTTCCTACCTATTAGGTGTTTTTTTTAGTGTTCTTTCTGTTCCAGTTTCCCAAGACATACCTCCTTTGTAACTGTTTCAGAGCTAATTACATTTCCCAGGATACGCTTGATCTGAGCTGACAAGAGGCCAAGTAGAGGCCGAGAGGCAGTGTGCCACTGAAGGGCAGGGGGGGGGTTGGCACACTACTGAGTGGTAAGGCATGACTGGAGCCCTTGGGCCATCAGGGGACACCAGGGAGCTGGGCCTGGAGCAGGTTCAAACAAGGGACGGCCTGCCTGCCACTGTTCCTGGCTGACCCACTCCAGAAGGAGTCTGTGTGAGGTGCTGGGCTCAGCCAGGGACAGCAGTGGCAGTGCACAGGTTCCTTCTTCCAGCACCTTCTCCATGCCTGCTCCCCTCCAGGTGTCCCTTGCTGGACGGGAGAAGGTGCTGAAAAGAGAAATCTCCCGATCTACTGCTATATGGCTCCCAGCCAAGCCCAGTTCCAAATATAGCCACTCCCCACAGCCCTTCACTGGAGTAAGGCAGGAGTGGCTCTGGGGCTCCCAATGTGACTGTCAGCCAGGGACAACAGCAGGTATGCTGCTCTCTTCAGCACCTGCTCCTGGCCAGTGGAAGACACCTGGAGAGGAATTGCAGTTGCAAGGGAGCAGGGGCAAAAAAAGGAAACCTACTTGCTGCTCCTGCTGTCCCCTACCAAACCTGGCACACTGCACAGCTGCAGCCCATGACTGAAGTGGGGCAGGTGTATTTGTGGGCCTTCCCTGTGCCATGGACAGCAGCAGTGGAAGGCAGGCAGGGGTGCATCCACACTGCTGCACCCCCACTTCAATATGCCCCTGGCACTACATTTTTTATCCTTGTTGCCATAGGTTGTTGAAGTGATGGTCCCCATGCAAAAACACTGAGGTGCGATATAACATTGTACTGATGCTAAGCATCTCTTGAATTCAGTTGGAAATTTCCTGTGGAGCTGTTTATTATTTGCACTGATTTTAATGGTAAACCTGTTTGCCAATATACAGTATGAGCTACATGAACTAACAAATAAAGAACTGCCAAATAAGCCATTTACCAATTAATGGACCATCCTCAGTTATTAACTTTGTGGAATCTATTGGTGAGCAAGCTGCAATTCACAGTGTTACTATATATTACTAGTCATGTGTGTTACAGTAGTTACATTTTTATAAAACTGAGTAATACACTTATAAAAGTTATTTGAGTTAGATACACCCATGCCACACTTAGACCAATGGCATTCAGGAATCAGGAGTTCTTTTGTGTTATCCTTTTTATATTTAATTTAGATTTCCATTTGCATTCTATATTATAGAATTTGGCATAGCCAGAATAAGAGGTCTGTTCTTACACAACAAATACCCAGATGGGTACTGTTATAGTGCGCAGGTTTGTTATTACCCTAAAATAAAATAGTTTTCTGATAAGCATACTGTTAGGTTTACAATAATTTAGATTATTAAAAAATATTAGCTTTACAGCTGAATACAAGGCATGACCTGTGGCCTAGCAATACAGCTGACCACAAGGCAGAATGATAGCTAAGCCTTTGCTTGTGTCAAATAATCATTTTAACTATATTAAACATTTTCTGAGTTAAAAAGTGGATCTGTGTCTGTGTGCTGAAAAATCAGCTACAGCAAGAAGTAAGATAAGACAGGGAAACCATTGTTCTGGGTGCAGTGGTTGTGTCCTTGAGAAATATCTACTACTGTGTAAGGTTTTGCTAACATATTATAATGTTACTGTTACTTAACTTTTAGCTTTTAAAAAGTGCTAGTTCAGCTTAATAAAAATATGCTGTTACAAAGATTTAAAAAACACCACCCAAGTATTGCTTTTTTGTTAACCATAAAGTCTTGCCTTGTTATAATAAGTATAAAAGATCACCTCACCCTTGGAGGGGGGCCATTTTGCCTTTTGCTGGCTTTATGGTCTTTGCTCGAGCAAATAAACAGTTGTCTTTCTTTACCCGCGTTGTCTGTCAATCAAATTACAGCTAGACAACGAACCTTAGGGAGATTTCTCCCACCACAACATGCACCAGTTCTGAGAAAATGGTGGCAGCACATCAACACAGTCAAAGGTGTTTTAGTTCAAAAGTGCACCACTGCCATTTTCCAAACACTGATGTGCCACCGTTTATACAAATGTGCATGACACAGCGCCGGGCATGTCAGCTTCCATGCAGATCAGACCCGATTAATCAAAGGTACGTTGCAGCATGATAAAGGTATGTGTATAAATGCCCCTAGTGGCCTGCAGAGATCTAGATAACCATGTGGTAGTTCGCCCTTGTTTCTGAAGACTAAAAAAAGATGCATTAAATGATTTTCCCGTTGGAAAAAAATTAGCAGATGTCAGTACTATGATAGTGAAAGGAGGCAGTCTATGAAACACTATACAAGTTTCAGAATCCTTGCCTGCCATAAAAACACTATAATAAGCAAAACAACAAAGCTCGGGAATACTGCTGCACAGCATCATCTTTAATAAGTATCCAACACGAAAGATTAACCAAAAAAATTCTACTCCCAGGTTACAGTAGCTATACTTTATACACAACAGCTGCAATAACAAGATAGTGCAACAGTCACTGTCTTGCCTTCATAAGTGAATTCATACTTTCTGCTACCCCAAAAGATAGATTTTTAGAAACTGCACTAGCAAGATCCCTATGGCCTTAACAACAACATAATATGCTAGAGTGACCAGCTCCCACTTCAGGACAGAAGTACCTCAACAGTCAAAAGAGAACAGAACATGTCATTTATCTGTAAAATAGTATGCTGTTTTACACAACTGCCTCACACAGTATGACACTTGTTTTGAGACAAACATTTCCCTCAGATGTAAAAATACAATCTTAATTTGAAAATACTAAATTGTTAATCACACAAAGCAAAAAAAATGAATATTCACCATTTCCCCTGAAATATCTTTAAATCTATTTTAGTTCCTTTTTCTGCCAGAAACTGTCAGGCACCATCATCAGCTGTAATTGCTCATTTCTAGTAAAATTTAATGCTTTAATCTCCTAAGTTAAATGCAAATCTCACAACTGCACACCTGTGTTTGCATATTCCCTTTGATGGGCCCTGTCACCATAAATGTCAGTATTTACTTCTCTTGAGTGTTGCTTCAGGACTAGCTGTGCTCCTCTTGTAGCTGACTTTGCATATAAATTCTGTAACATATTTTTGAGAGTTGAAAATTACAAAGCCCATTTGAAATGTTTAATTATTTATATAAATTCTATAGCATTAACCTTTGGAAAAAAAAAAAAGCTTCTCAGGGACAAAATACAGGATAGACACCACAATATGATAGGAGGAAAAGGGAAAAAAAATGCACTGAATGCTTCTGGAATGGAAAGCATTTAAAATTGAGATTTTCCTCAATTACCATTTTAGATAAAGTATCCAATAGATTAAAATAATTTTAAAGGTTTATTTCCCCCCGTTAAATAAGAATTTGCTTTCTATTTTACATACAAGTATTTCTTGTTTGCTAACATATAAAGCCAGGATTGTACAACAGGTACCCCTTCCCAATCTACCAACGCCATCCCATTAAACCTGGATTAAACTACCAGAAAAGATGGTCTTTGTTGTCAGAAGAAAAATGTATCAAGCATAGTTACTCTGACAGCAAAAACATAAATGTAACCAAATAAACTCTCAACTACAACAGAGGCATTGTTCAGGATACATGCTTGAGTCTGGAGGCAGCAACTTGTAGAATCATCTATAATGATCTGTTGGGGGGGATAAGGGGGTGGAAGAGAACAAATAACTAAATAAATGAGATTGACCCATTTTCCTTCAAAATGAAATTTTGTGCCAGCCAGTTAACTTTTCATGCATCACTTCCCCAAAGATTTAAAAACCAAACTTAAAAACAAAATTTCAAAATGTATTTTTACATTATATTTTGAGAGGAGAAAGTATCTGTAAAGTATTACTTGGAGTCCAGGCAACGCCCCCTACTGCTGCAGGTTAAATCCAGCCCACAGGCCAAAGATTGCCAGCCCATACTTTAGAGGTTTGAAAAGCAATGGGTTTTTAGTGATCTCATTTTCAGTCATATGTATAGCTGGAAAAAATATTAAACAAGCTTTCAGACACAAAGTGCCCTTCTCAAGTAAAGAGCCAGAGAACCTGGATAAAAACATAGTAAGAGGTCGTAATAGGGTAAACTTTACCAATGTTCTCAAAGAGAAATTAGGATAATCTATTAGTTACCTAAAATGCTTAAATACTCATGTGAGAAGCAGGAGGAATAAGGAGGAAGAACTGGAAATTCTAGTAATTAGAAAATGATATGAAATTGAAATAATGAAGACTTGAGTACCGTCACGAAGCATGTAACCTATATAAGCAAGACAGGCAGGGGAAAAAAAAGACGTGTTGCCTTATACGAGATGCATGTTTGTTTGGAGCTAAAGTACATAGTAATACATAGCTGAAGTACATAGCAAAAGGCAGGCCTATTGAAAATCTCTGAATCAAGGTCAGTATGGAGAACAGCAAGGGTGATGCCAGGGTGGATGTCTGCTATAATAAAGCAGACAGGAGAGGTGGATGAGGCTTTCCTTAAACAACTAACCAATGTTTCCAAATTACAGGACGTAAGGGTTCTCAAGAGGGTCTTTATCGTGGTCTTTATTGAGGGAAACACAGCAGAGCACCGGCAGTCCAGCAAGTCTTTGAGTGTGTCGGGAATAACTTATTGATAAAAGTCCTAGGGAGCCCAAGTAGGGAAAAAGTTCTTTCAGTTGCTCCTCACAAACTGGAAGGAACTGGTTAACCTATACATTGACTCTAAACAATCTGTATTACTTTCTAAAACAACCTCTGAAACGTCAAAATTTTTCATAGTAACTGGTTACCCATTACTTACACTGACCAGGAATAGAAAGTATTCTTTTCATACTCTCTCTTCTCTTCACACCTGCCTCTCCTTGAAGAGCTTAGGAGCTTCTGCAAGTTTCACAGTTCCCTTTACCTTTCATACTTGATCTCTAGACTTCAGCATGCAACTCTGCAGATTATGAAGTCTCTCCAACACAAGTAGCAGTAAAATAACAGGAAAGTAGGACTGGAAGAGATCTCAAAGTCATCTAGTCCAGCCCCCTGCTTGAGGCAGGATAGCCCCAACTAAACCATCCCAACCAAGAGTCTGTTTAGACTGCTCTTGAAAACTTCCAAGGATGGAGCTTCCACAATTTCTCTAGGTAGCTTGTACCAATGCCTGACCATCCTCAGAGTCAGAAAGTTTTTGCTAATCTCCAATTTAAATCTCCCCTGCTGTAGCCTGAGGCCATTACTCATAGTCCTGTTCCATAGAGCAGGGTTTCTCAACCAGTGGGACACAAAGGTGCTCTAAGTGGGACTCGGGTCGCAGCGGCAAAACCAGAAGTGCCATGGTGGGACTTCTGGTTTCACTTCTGCACGCTTCGATTGGCCACTATGACCAACTTCCTACTTCCTACAAGAGACATTGAAGAGATTGCTGTCTAGCCAAGCTGGTCTACTGTTACACTTTCCATTTTTCTGTCACATCAGGATAGCTTGCACCTATGCCTTTAATACAGCCTCCTTATAGTACAGACAGCTGTCCTGGATTCCTTTTCCCTTCATAGCGGTCTCCTAGAGAATCCTGCCCACCTGTTCCCCGAGTTCGTTAGTCTTCTTTTCTGAAGTCCAGTGTCCCTATCCTGCTGCTCTCCTTTCCTCCCCTTATGATCTTCAACTATAATTTCATGGTCCCCTATCACCCAAATAGTCTTCTACCTTCACTTCCTCAACCATTTCCTTCCTTTTGTGAGCAATAAGTCAAGAAAAGCTTCCCCGCCTAGTTGGCCTCTTTACCATTTGTATCCATCCCTTACACCAGTGGTTCTCAACCTTGTGCAGGCCGGGCGCGAGCCGGGCCCTTTTTCGTGCTCTGCGCGGGCTGTGGCCAGCAGCCCGGGCACACGGAGTCAGAGAGGGCACGCGTCAAGCTAGAATTAGGCACAGACTCATAGCGGTAGATTTAAAGATTGTTTACTTACACCGGAGATGGTTGCAGTGCAGGCTGGAAAACTTGCTTGAGTTGCGGTTACAGACAAAAACAACACGAAAGATCACATGGAGTTTGCTAGGCTCCACAGAAACAGAGCTCCGGATGCCCTGGACAAGCGCGCCACCGAAATAGAAACTTCGTAGATATGTCTTATAAAATTTATCACTCGAAGACGGGAAGAGGTGGGCGATGGATCAGGTCGCCAAACTCCTCTGAATCTCACACAGGGTCTCTATTACCCTGCCGTGTACCCAGAGTCCCCACAAGATGGATGTGGAGTCCTCTTCGGCTTGGGCGGAAACCGCTCAAGCCTCTTATACGGCTAGCAGGCCA